GTTGGGGTGAGGTGTTTGAGTTGGAGCTAGACGAGAATTGCTGTATGCAACAATAATTCGGTTGCGTACAATTGGCAATTTTTGTTTTTCCTTTTTTTTTTATATATTTATTTTTTTAAGGTAAATTACAACCAGCGCTGAGGTAGATGTTTGGATAATTATTAATAATAATATTCTCCTCAACTGTGAATTTTTTTACAAGTCCACTGTAATTGTGTCAAATTCAACATAATCTTCAAAGGGTGGTGGAATGTTCTCTAGTTTGTCTTCTTTTCGTGCAAAAATGCAGTTTCTGATGCACCACAATCTGATATATACAACACAGAAAACCCATTTTATGATCATCTTGTTGCAAAATGTGGAGCTCGAATGGGGTAAAACGGGTACAAAATTGAGAATATTTCATATAATTTAGAAGATTTCACTAAATTTGACACTACAGAGGTGGATGTGTAAGAAGATTCATAGTTGAAGGATAATTGTAATTACCCAAACAGAATGGGGGTTTTCGTAATTACCTCAGAGGTGGTTGTTAATTACCCTATTTTTTTTCATTGAACAAAAACATGCTATTTGATGCAACAATTAAGGTAAGAGTGAGACTATTTCGACTCCATCAAATTTCTAATCAGGCTTCGTTATTTCATTTGTTGTCAATAATGCCCTTCAACTATTCGCTTCACTATCTTAAATTCAAAAAGATTACCCCAACTCTTCACCGCCGTTCCCCGCCACCGCCGAGATTTGTGGAGGGAAAATTGGGGTAAATAGTATTCTTTATGAAATTCGATACAGAAATGTTTTTTTTTTCTAATTGGTTTCGGTTTTTCTTTCTTCCTCTTTTGTCATTCCATTCGTCAACTGATTAGTGTGGTGGTGGAGTGTGTTCGAAGATGGCGGCGAACGGGTCCAACATAAAGAGCATTCCATAATCGGAATATTGGAGTGTTTTATTTTGGATTTGGTTTCATTTTATATGTTACTACTCGATAAGAATTATAGGTTTTTTTTTTATGGAGCGATGGAGTGTCTCGTTGAGTGACGTCATTGGGAACAAGTCAAGTTGTGGAGTGTATTAGAATTTTGGTGGAGGTGAAATAGCCTCACCCTTAAGGTAATAACGTTCGGTACTAAGTACTAACTACTAACTTTATTTCATATTGAGTGTCGTCGTTTAAGGTTAATGCACAATATTAAAAAAAAAATATATTAAATAACCTTAATTTTAGCTTAAAAAAAGTTATAATTGACAAAATTACCATTTATGACCTTTTTTAGAGTAAATTGCAAAAAGCACCTATGTGTAAGCTTCAAATAGCGAAAATTTTCATATGATAAATAAACTAGCAAAAAACCCCTATGAAATTACTTATATAGAACACTCGGCCCATTATTCATTTGAATATTGACATAATATAGAAAGACAAAACTACCCAGAGATTTTGCAATTAATAAATTCTTATATTTTATAAATATTAATTATTTTATTTTAGTTATAGCTTATCTTTTATTTCTATTTTTATTATCAGATAATTTCAAAATATATTTTAATATATTCCTACATTAAAAGAAAACTTAAATTTCATTATTTATTTATTTATTTATTTATTTATTTATTTATTTATTTTGTATTTAAAAAACACCTATACATAATTTGATTACCAAATTTTTTATATTTTTTTCAATTTAGTTGTTTACTATTTTTTTTTTAATAATATTTTAGTTGATGTACAATTTCATCATTTCAGGTCTAAAAATAGTTACCAGCTGCACATCAAGTGAGTGAGCCACACGTAAGTCAACTGGGGGTTTTCTGCCTTTGACTAAATTTTACATGGGAGTTTTGCTAGTTTACCATTGAACCTATATAAATTAATACAGTCGGAACTAGTAAAATTCTATTCATTTAACGAAATATAAAATTATCGAAGTAACAATTTAGTAAGTCTTAATTGAGTTGAAACCGAAAGAAACTATAGTTAAGTGAGATTATCAATTTATCGAAATTCAACTGTAGTTATCAAGAGGGATTCGCTATTACCGAAGTAACAATTTAGTAGGGTATATGCAGTTTACTCCTTATTAATTATCAATGATAAGGTAAAGTTGACAAACCAAATGTTATTCATTGACATTCTAAAATAA